TTCATTACCTCCAGTGTGTGGTTGGTAACCAATCGTGGAAGAGCCTCTTTTTTACTGATATAGTTTAATTTTACAGATATCTCTTTCTTCCACAGACTAAACTGTGATTGAAGTCACAGAATTTCACCATAGATAGTGAACACCACTGGTTGTTTTGTTTTTATATATATACGTTTAAACGTTTATCTGATTTCTGAACTGAGCTGAAGCAAATACTATTTGATTATTTTTATTACTGTTTTTCATGATAGCTTTGTCACATACAGACCATCAAGCAAACTTGTCTCATACACTATAGATCTAAGAAATAATTATTTCCAATATTCAGCTTGTCATAGGTGACGGTAACGTATATATATACAACAAAACACTGGAATATCAATAACTAAGATAATAAGGTAAGTTAGAGTAGAATAAATAAATTGTACTTGTATAATAATAACAGAAATTATAATTACATTAAGGTTTTAATTTAAAGAGACGTATATTAGAAAAATCTAGACTAATTTTATTTATGCTTGAGCATAATTATTATATATTTTATTTACACATGGAGTGTATTATATGTTCTTATATTTGGAAAATATAGGTATATAAGCTCGATTACATACGTTAAGTCGAAAAACGGCGTTTGGATGTTTTTGTTATAGATTCTCAGTAAAATAATATCCTGAAGAGTGACCTTTGAAGTCACGAAACCGGTTGAAGAAATTAATAAAATAAAGTAAAAATAGATATTCCAGTGTTTTGTTGTTCGTATCCACAAGTGAATCTTATTGGTTACATATATAAACAGCTCACAAACTATTAATTACATTAATTGTTAATAGCCCACCTAAAATAGGAAACAAGAGAAAATGGCGATAAAATCAATACCTCAACATAATTTTCTATTAAATAAATAGCTTACAAGCTATTGGTTACATGAATTGTTTATAGGCGATTAAATCAGCACTATAAAACAATAATGAATTAAATATCGCAATACCGTTATCGGTCCTGGTTGTCAACGTATTGTCATAGTGAATGATGTCTGTGGTAATAACACCCAAATTCGTTGGGAATATCACATCTATCAGACAAATATCCAAACACCGATGTCAATGTAGTCAGCCGTCATGGATAATCATAACAAAATCAAATAAGGGTACGAAGCTGAGTGCTTACACCCATAACGTCTCAGCTTCTACTGCCTTTCATTGTTTATAGCCAGTTGTGGGGAGGAAGTTCTGTTCTTCTATGAAAACTCATTTATGAAGCAGACTTTAAATCCTAACTTATACATTTACACTTTCAGTTACATAGATGATTTATTATATTT